ATATATATATATATATATATATATATATATTTAAGCAGATATTAAAAAAGTTGTTATATATATAATAACAAACATTTTATAATAACAATCTTTATTATTAAAAATTATTTTTACTTACACTATAAATGCATTATATGTTGGTATAATATTAAATGTGTAGGTTATAATGACACATAATATATATTATTGAATTTTATTTAAAATCAAAATTAAAATTATATGTAATTATATGTTAAATAGATTTATACATAATAATTACATTTATATGACATATTTTGTAATTTATTATATATGTAACATTTTTTTTATAGTGAGTATACACAATATTTTATGCTCTAATTTTATTGTTGCCATTATACACTAAAAAAATTGAAGATAAAATATAATATTTGTTATTTTTTACTTCGAGAAAATAGTTGTAAGCATAATAAGTGTGTCAAAATTTATTAATTTTTTTCATCTAGTTTACGTAAAGAAAAGGAAAAAGAATTTTCTTAAACAACTTATTAGAAATATTTTTCTATTAAGTTTTCATGTTACTCCCATCGTATCAAAATCAAATTAGATTAAAAAAAAAAAGAATTAAAAGGTGAAAATTTTAAGGCGAGTGATAAAAAATGTTCATCGATCGCTTAAAAATAATTATTGAATATATCATTAAAATAAATGGATGATTTAGATTATTTTTATCAATAAAAATTATTACAATAGTGTCATAATTAAACTTTAGTCATCATACAGTTACTTAAATCGTCAATCCTAATAGTTTAGACTACTAAGACAAAATGTAATTACTTTCTATCTCAAACTAGTAACTCGTGCATATACACTGGTGGCGTGCGGTTGGTGGATGTTTAATTATTTTTTTGTTTTGAAAATTTGAATAAAATTATTGGACAAAGACATTTAAGTTTAAAAAGAAAAAAGTTAAAATAATTAAAATGGAGATCAAATTTAATAATTTTTTTAACTACAATTTTGATTCATGTTTTGTAGGTGTTAAATGACTCAAAGTGAACAATAGTTGATTAGTTTTGTAATCTAAATCACTTTATTTCATGAATTATCCACATCTGCAGATGATTTTTCTATGAATTGTCAATGAATAAATTATATATACTAACGCAATAGTTTAAATTAGAGCTGTCAAAATAGATTCAGTCTAGTGAACCCGTGGTGAACCGGGTTGAACCCGTGGTGAGCCGGGCTGACCCACCAACCCGTTAAAAAGAAACTTATGCTTCAACTTTCATTTTATTGGGCCCAATTGCCCAAATGAGCATTAGAATTTGAATTATATTTGAATTATTGGGCCCAAAAGAGTATTTGAGATGATTTTGAATTATATTTGTTTAAATGAGATTATTTAGATTTTATTTGATTATATTTAGAATTATCATTTAATTGTGATTTTAGGCTTTAATTGTATATTAAAAAAATTACATTTTTTTTAAATTAGGTGAACCAACCCGTTTAACCCACCAACCCGTGATGGACCGAGTCAGGTTCAATTTTTTTGAGCTCACTAATAAATAAGTTGGGTTGAGTTGGGCCACCAAATACTTAACCGTGATGGGTCAGGCCGAACTGTGCCGAATTACTCATTTTGACAACTCTAGTTTAAATCCTCATCAGCTAAAAAAAACTAATATGAATATATTCAAATGTGTTTGTTGAGTTAATCAAATGTCATATGACATGAACTTCACTAGAGCATTAAATTGAAGTATGCAAAATTTTAAAAGAGTGTAAGCACCATAATTTGTGCATTTATGCACAAATTTTTAAAAGTTTCTACAAAATAATAAGAAACATGAGAATAAGACAAATGTTACTAAATTATGTCATTACCTATTTTTAAAGATTACTATGTAATAAAAAAATCATTTAATGAAACAAACGCAACTAATAAAAGAACTTGTATACCAAAACTATTTTCTTTTTGAATATCCAAACTGCAGCAGCACTTTTCCCTAGAAATAAGAGCAATAAGTTGTAATAAAAAAACTATAGTAATAGTGCACCATGCATGGTTTTAAAATCAAATGTTTATGAAAATCAACGGAAGGATATCGACTAATAATTCAACACCTTATTATTCAACTTACAATTAAAAAGAAAAAGAAATCACAGAACTAAAAAAAATGGTATGAAGGAAGAAATTTAGAAAATACTCGGTTGGAATCGGAAGAACAAAGAGTAAGTGAACCTGAAGTTGGAAAAATGAAAAAGTTAGGTTATAATTAAAGTCCGAATTTTATTGGAAGCATAAATGTGTATTTGTAGTTTAAAATAGATATTAACCCTCAAATTAGTATTCTTGTGGTGAAACAATACTAATTTCTAAATGGCTTTGGCTTTGACTAAACTAATATTGATAATCTTTACCATTCTTGTAATTTAGAATGGCTTTGGCTTCTTTTATTATGAATTTCTTCAAATTGCTCTTGGTGTGTTTTTCTTGATGTATTAATACGTCTTGCTCCAATTGCATGATTTATAGTCTCAAGAAGAATTTTAATTCTAGAAAGTGTTCCTTCTAAACCTTTTTGAACAATGTGGTATATATAATTCCTCTTATCAATCCATTATTTAGAAGAAAATTGCTTAGCAAGGCCTTGGATTAGACAACACTTCTTGGACTTTGGGAGAAAAGTGGCTTCTGGTGTAGGTTTAGGTGGTGGCGACTTGGGTGTAGGGTGAGAGAGACGAAGAGAAAATAGTTTATCATTTGAGTCAGATGAAAACTCATGGACATGGATGCAAAGAAGTTTGGATACATAAGTTTTTGTTTTTATTTTTGGTGGTGGAGGAGAGGCTTGTGTTTGAGTTTGAGGGGGGTTTGGTGGTTGGGCAAGTGTTTTTGGTTAAGGGTGGCTTCTAGTGGTGCGATGATTGGTTGTAGGCTCCTTCAATGGAGGCTCTTCTAAAGGCTCTGTCTTCACTTCCACAATGTTTCCTTTGACTTGAGAAAATAAATGGACAATCTCCATTCGCTTCAAAGTGGTTGTGGTGATTTCACTGCCTTCATTCCTTTTCTCTAAGCTACTGGTGTCTACTTAGCTCTCTGAATAAGCATAGTGAAAAACATCCTATAGGGAATGAGTGATATCTTGTTGCCTTCCTAGTCTTATTGTTTAAGATAGGACTTTACTGGTTATAAACCAGACTAGACAAATTGATCTTCACGCCTAAGCACTAATGGTAGAAACTGAATTTGTTCACATCAAAGACATTATCCTTGGAACCAATATGAGGAATGAATGTGTTGAAGAACAGGTTATGGAAAGGTTTGTACAAGGGCTTCAGGTTGCCCACTTAGAGGTACTTCTTCAACTTCGTCTTCTTAGCAGGACAAGAGTATAGTACAATATCACATCGACAATTCCATACGTGATGGTCATCTCCCAATCATAGGAGTAGGAGACTCCTTCCTCCGTACAACTTGAAGCAATTGTGATGATGAGAGAGTTGATCTTTACAATGGTTTGATCCACCTCTCCCACCAAGGCATGTGTCTCTAGTCTTGTTGATTCCTAGAAGTAGGGATAAGCAACATGGAACTAATTGCATTGCAGCTTTGCGAACTTGGTCCATCTGGCCCTATCCAAATACTCATGATAGCCTTCATCTAAATAGTAGGACAATCAACTATAGAATGTCCTTATATTCCACAAAGCTCACATGATAGAATTAAAGATCTTACTGAATTTACTTTAGTTTTTTCCATCTTGTCGATCTTCTGGCTTAATGCATCAAATTTTTCCAATAATAGATCTACATTATTTACTTCATATCTGTCAGGAATGATTTTTTTAGATGATCATTCTCTTTCATTGTTCCATTGGCTATAATTTGAAGCTACATTTTCCATTAGCTAAGCAATCATTGATTGGTTTTCCCATGAATGATCCATCAACAACAGAATCAAGAATCATGGCACTTGAATGATCTAGTCCTTCGAATAAGAATCGAACAGTGAGCCATCGATTGAAATCATGTTGTGAGCATGCTTCAAGATATCCTTTGTAACATTCCCAAACTCCATTAATAGTTTCACCACTTCCTTGTTGGAAGTTGGTGATCTTTTTCCTTAACTTTTAGTTTTGGAAGGAGGAAATAATTCATGCAAGAAAACTTTTTCACACAACTCCCATCGAAAACCTTTTTTTTGAAATTCTGGGTCTCACAAATTTCTAAAAACCTTTCAAGATGATCATTGGGGTCTTTCGATGGTAGTCTACTATAAGTGTTTTGCTTCAGCATACTCACTAAAGTTGTTGGAACAATTGCTCTAGTAGTTATTGTTCCTTTAGGAAGCCTGTGAGCTACTAGTGCAGAATAGTCTCTCAAAGGCCTATTCTTCTAGTTCGTGGCCATAACTTCAATTTTCTCGGGTGTTTTAAATAGTAACTTTCTTCTCCTATGAAAAGTTCTCTCAATCTTAGGATCACTTTAAAGAGGTTCCCTCAGGTGGAGAGATCTTTGCATAAACTAAGTAGGTTTTTTGTAAACAAAGATCACCTCATGAAAATTGAACTGGGGAATTAAAGTAAAAATAATAACAAATAAACAAATAAAAATATTAAATAAAATTAAAGAAATTGTAAAAATTTAATCACAAGTCAAAAGATGGAGTCCTTGACAATGGTGTTAAAAACTTGATGTGAGAAAAATCACAAGTATACGATTGTCGTCAAGTAATAAATTATTAAATTTGTAGGGGCTACGTGTTTGAACTGTAATTATTAATGTTTACTTAAATTTGAAAAAACAAAAATAAAAAGAACAATTAAAGAATAAGTTGAGAGTAATTTTAAGATTGATTGTAAATAAAACTTAAAAGTCAAAAACCATGATTTCAGTTATAAGAGAAATTTTTACGAATAAAGGTTCACTCAATGAGTTTGTACATGTTCAAATGTTTTTATTCAAATATTTAATTATCTAAATGCAAAGACATGTTTAATTGAATTAATTTTTATTCTCATATAATAACTATTTTCAATTAAACCCATTATGATCTGTGTTAATTTAGTTAATTTTTGAAGGATTAAACCTACTCTTATGATTTAAAGTCTAAATTTATTTCTTTAGATTTCAATATTTAGGTTCACTTCTCAATATCTTTCTAAATATCTAAAATTATGAAAAATGATGATTAATCGTTTAACATATATAATTTGTAAAGAAATAAGGTCAAGAAGAGAACAAGAATTAAATAATTGAATAATTCATAATAGCATAAAGGTTCTTAAGGGTTAAGTCCTGATCTTAGTAAAAGAGAGACTATTCACATATGTTTATAATAGTTCTCCCAAAAGAAAAGAAAGATAACATAAAAAGAATAAAACCTAAAAATCAAATAAACACCAACATAAATGTCTCTTCTTTAATCGCTCTATCAAAGAGTAAAATCAAAAGTATCTTCCTAATTCCAATAGTCCAATATATAACCTAGAAAAGGCCTAAAAGATAAGTCTAACAAAGTCCTAATGATAAGATAAAATAAGATATTCCTAAAGATAATGTGTAACAACTAGATTGAGTCACGACTGTGACTGGTGAGTCACATTTGAGACACGTTCGATTACTGATGTTTTTCTTTGTGTTGTTGAGTTGGTTATGGGCAAGATTGGTGGATCACGGTCGTGACCTTTTCTATCTTCCTTCTTCTATTAGCATTTGAGGTAATCATGAACATGATCTATAAGTTATGGCCGCGATCCTTTCTGACTTATCTTTTTATTCTATTTTCTTATCTTTCTTTGTTAGTTTTCTATGAGCAATGATATCTTTACTTAATATATGCAAATAATAAAGTAAAACATCAATGTAACAAATTTATATAAAAAAAGACTGAATTTAAAATAATTTTTATGATAAATTATCTTATATAATACATGAAAATATAAAACATTTAAAACAAAAATATGATAAAAATGTAAAACATCATTAAGAGAGGTTGACCCTTCTTATGGTAAAATGCTTGAAGCATTACATAGAAAGTGGCCAAAATAAATGGCCATTGACTATTGACCACAACCTCCTCCATTCGCTCTCAAAAGGGCTTAGGCCACTCATTCATTGTTCACTCAAAAGAAATGGGCTGGTGTATGATAAGACATTTGAGGAAAGGTGAATATATACTTATTGGCAGATTAAGGTAATTCTTTGAATGAATCTTAGGTAATGCATTGGAAAATCCTCATAGAACACATTCTGAGATTTTTTAATCATTGTTTATACTCGAGCTACTTTTTGGTATCTTTTATAGTTGAATTCTTCTTGTTTCTTCAACATCACGCGTTATAGTTGGGCCATATATATAGGGCGGCCTCGTTATGCCTATTTTTAATGTGATAAGTGGTGATACAATTTTTTTTATAAAAATTATAATATTGATACAAATATTTACTGTAAAAAATAGTGTCAAAAATAATTATTAATTCTTATTGAGAATCGTAAACATATACAAAATAGATAATTTATTTCATACTCTATTTTAAAATTCAAATTCTGAAAATTTTAATAAAAACATAAATTACTACACTTATGTAAATTAATATCGATGAAAAAGTGACGCAATACAAGTATACAATTTGTGGACTATTCTCATTGAAAGGTAACCGTATAGCATCCAAGACGTGTCATCGTCTCCAAAGTTTGTTATTGAATAAGTTAAATTTTGTCATTTACCGATTATTTATTTTATCGATTTGTTTTGTAAAATAACACACAAAAGAAAAATACAATTACTACTTTTGCTTATAATTTGTTTTTACAATAAATGCTCAGGAGCATGTCACACGTATTCAAAAGGAAAACTGGTAATTTGTTGTATATATTGTATTTTGCCTTAATTTTGTTTTGCTATTACATAAATATAAAAGAAAGAAACATTTGGTTCCCTTTTGACTCCCATTGATAATGTATTATATATACAAAACTTACACATGAACACCTTAATCATACTTGGCAGTTGGCACTTTAAATTAATTAAATAGAATGCTACTGTACAATTAGCCATCATTCTATAAGATAAATATTAATAAATAAAGTTTTCGATTAATTTTTTATTTTTATTTTTTACTTTTACTTTCTAAGTATGAGACAGTATATATAAATTTTAGAAAATGTCATTATAATTTTGATAGATAAAAAAAAATTATCTATCAATCTATTTTCTATTTTTAAAGATTTGTATAAAAAATGATATTACATTTTTTTGTTTTTTTTAATCTCATATATATAGTCTTAAAAAATAAAAAAGGAATGAAAATAGAAATAAATGCTCTTAAGTTTCTAATGGGAACATGAAAATAAATCAAGAGCAACTTGTTAATTTCTCTTCTTGAAGATATGTAATATTTATGTAGAAGTGGTGATGAGGCAATGGTGATGGTAGTGATAGTATGTGTGACAATAATGGTGTGTCATGATGGTTATAATAATAATAAGAATGACAATTACGATAAAAATAACTATGATGGAAAGGATATGGTAATTTTATTAATAGCCTCTTAATCTATTTATTATAAGAGATATTTGTAATAAATAAGGATGAGTATATCATTAGTCGATGTGAGACTTTTAATACACACCTACCTCACATTGAAGACTAGACAAGTTTGCATGACAAATATTCTTCTTGGATATTGTTCTAACCTGGAAAGGTTTGAGGTCGATCTTCCTTGATGAGATTGTCAGATCTCTTTTGCTTGGTAGATTGGTTGCTCCAATGATGAATACCTATAAAAGACACTTCGATGCTAAAGTTAGTTTTCGAATAATGTGAATATCTCATATATAATGCACGTAGCTGAATGATTTTTAGGATTATCTTCACTACGGATTTCATGATTGTTATGATGCGATATCATAAACTTATCTTTTTTTTTTTTTTTCATATTGACCAAGAGCTAACCTGACATTCGAAGATCGATGTGACCTTGTTGATATACCATAACGTCGATCAAGTTGGGCATCCACTAAGGTCGGGACACCAAATCTATTTGTGCAGCTGAGGTTACCAACTTAATTATATTAGTATAAATATCATCTTAAAAAGTAAATTAAAACCTAATTTATATTAAAAAAGTTGAAAATAAATCTAATTCAATCCAAAAAAAAATTTAATTTATGAAGTAAAAATTATTCTCTATTTTATATTCTCTGACTTCATCTTAAATCGACGTAAAATATCTATATCTATATGTATATATAAATGTTGGTTGTCTTGGTTTTATCCCTTACAAATTTCTACGATATATTTTTTGTTAGGCTAAAAATCTATTTTGGTCCCTTATAATTTTTTTTTGTTTCAATTTAGTCCCTCATTAATTTTTTGTCTCAATTTGGTCTCAAACTAATTAATTGGTTTCAATTTAGTCCCAAATTAATTAATTGGTTTCAATGTGGGACTTTCCGTCCAAATTGCTTTAACGGTGTTAACTTTTGGCCACGTGGACGTCACGTAGATGCATACGTGGATGCCACGTGGATGAGATTTTTTTTAAAACACTTGGACCCAGAACGGCCCGTTCTGAAACCGGAACGCGCCGTTCTGGGTGCACTTTTGGTGTGTTAATTTTGCATCCGGAACGGCCCGTTCCAGGTGCAAAATTAACACACC